GGTAGTTTAGTTGATGGTGGATAATGAATAGCAAAACCAATTTTTTTTTTTTTTTTTTTTTAAGGCTGTTTAGTTGATGGTGGATAATGAATAGCAAACCTGGAGGTTGTGTGTTCGATTCTCACATGAACCAATTTTTTTTTTTCTTTTTTGTTAAGGCCAGGGCTTCCAGACTTCTGACAATGGTGGAAGCCTATACCAAAACTTCACATTTTTGCGGGCATAATGCATAGACAGGATTGTTCATCCAAATTGAAATTAGTGTTTTGATGGTGATTTTTTTTTTATCCAATGGGAATTCATATTCTGGTTTAATTTAATTAATTTGTTTATGTTAAAGATGGTTTAATTTTTATACTTATGTTCTAATTGTATGTACTGAGGGTCCCAATTGATCAGCTCAGGCTGGATGGACCACCCTCACAAAATATTGTTTAAATAAATAAATATATTTTATATAAGAAGAATCTATGAATATTCAGTAAAAAAATATTTTTTTTTTTTTTTTTAGGCCAGGGCCTTCAGACCTCTGACAATGGTGGCGGAAGTCTATACCAAAGCTTCGCATTTTTTCGGGCATAATGCCTAGACAGGATTGTTCATTCATATTGAAATTAGTGTTTTGATGGTGATTTTTTTCATCCAATTGCAATTTATGTATTTTATATGAGAAGAATCTATGAATATTCAGCTTTCCGTTTACTGAGGGGAATAAACAACAAGATATTTGATTGGTGAACAGCCGAAATGGCAATTTAAACGAAGTCACTAAAAAGAGGTCAAAATGCAGCCACTACGTGCGGTGGGCGGTCAGCATAGCACCAATAGACAGTGACCTTTTTCAAGCAATACAATAGAAACGAATACTAAAGCAATCAGGAAAGAATTGCCTTCCAAATGCAGAAGGGAATACAAAAATCCGACAAGTATTTGCCAGATACGACTGTGGAAAGACAAAAAAAAAAATGACTTAAAAACAGCTAATGTCAGTGTGAAACACTTTTGCTAGGCTATTATCGCTCTTGAACGATAATGTTGCAAGAAGAACCATTTCGTATTTTTGGAGCTTTTTTGATTTGTCAATATGTATGGCTGATAATTTTACGTTATTTTGTCAGGTCAAGGTTATTTCACTTTATTCAACAATAGACTGATACTATTTCCACTCACAATAGTGTAGTCGCAATATTACTAATACAAAAGTGAAAGTTAAAAAGGGGATAAAAGCAAAAATCTCTTGATTGATTTTAAAAGTCGTGTACTTGCAAAAAGACTAAATTAATAATTGTTTTAAGTTTGAATATCGTGTTGTTAATAATAATAATAATAATAGGTCTTATAATAATATAATATAATAATAATAATAATAAAGACTTGTAAAGCGCAAACATCTCCACCTAAATAGGTGCTGGGCAGTCCCAAACAAGCAGTAGAGAAAAAAACAAGATACATATCACAAGAAGAAAATGTAACAAGACTGATCATTTTATTACTTTACCTTCTCATTTTTTAACCACAGTTATACCAATGTCTTTCGATATTTCCTTTTCTTTCTCTTTCTTACAATTTCCTTTTTTGTCATATGTTTCCTAATCTTTTTCCTATTCTTTCTTATGTTTCCTTTTCTTCTTTTTTTCCTTTCTTATGTTTCCTTTTGTTTCTATGTTTCATTTTCTGTTTTAGTCTTTCCTTTTCTTTCTTATGCTTCCTTTCCATTCCATTTCTTTCTTATGTCTTTTTTCTTATTCTTTTCCTTTTCTGTCTTACAATTTTCATTTCTTTTCCTTTTATCTCTCCCCCTTTCTTTCTTGTTTTGTAGTGAAAATCAGGGCCCCCGTGACCTTTTTCAGGGACCAACGTTTCTCTATTGATTTAGCATCACTAGATAAAAAAAATGAACGGGCGGGCAGGGGGAACCTTCAGAAATAGGGCGGAACGTCCTTTAAAGTTGGATAAGCTTCTCCTAGCAGACCTTAGCATATGGTCATATATTTTTTTCACCAGTGTGCAATCTTGTTCTTTTAGATTAGAATGACTTTGTTCTTTTTTTTGTTTTTGTACTTTTTTTTTATTAGAAGAAATGTAAACCCCAAATATAGTGCAAATACTTATAAGATTGTGTCCTCTCACTCACAGAATGAGTTTCTGTTTATAATACTTTACCAACTAATGCTTCAAATGCTGATTGTACTTATAGCCCTGAAGTCCAATACAAACAATAATAAGCTACTTTCAGGCAAGATTTCATTGAAAGATGTGACTTGTGATTCTATATTTATGAATTGTTTTATTATTGAGAAATAATAGAGGTTTAATTGTTGAATATATTTTTGGAAGTCTGGTATGTTTATAATGCATGCTTTTACTTACTTGTAGCTTCCAGTATTTTGTCGCTATGTCAGGCGATGCTTTGTTCTGCCATTCAGCCATAGTCCCATCATCGATTTCCTAAATTTTAAGTTAAAATAAGCACAACATCAATATTAGTCTAAAAAGTAGAAAGGGATATTTTTGACTAATACCTTATTTGAAAAAATACACTGGTGATTGTTTTGTAACTTTTGGTGAATTAGTCTGTACTTTTAGTGCCTAGAGCACTTACAGTCCTATTTGAGTGCTACATATGCAATTTATCTTTAATAGAAACTTTTAGCCTATTTAAACAAAAATTATATAGTTGACAGCAAGACTTTCAATCTACCATTTGTTTGCTATAATAAGGCTAATTTGGTAATGGTAGGCCTACAATCACACAGATTTTCCTATTAGCACACAATGACAAAGCCTCTGATCTCAGTTGGTAGAGCAACAAAATGTTAAATGAAAGTTCTAATCTATACATAATCTGATGGAATATTTTCCATAAGTTTTATATTTTTCACGTATTTATGGGAATCCAACAATTTTAAGAAGACAAAGAGAAATGCATTTTAGATTGTTGATTCTGTGTTGTTGACATTACTGTAGGTTTATTTTACTCTATTTTATTTGAGCTAGACACTGGCCAGTAAGAAGGATATAATAACATCTCTAATGTTCTTAAAAACTAGTCTCTACAACAAAGACATCAATTGCAAATGTGCTCACCTGAATGAGCATGGTGTATGTTTTAACTGCTTCCTCCTCCAGGTAGCCAACAAAACGATGACAAAAGCAAGGACTGATTAGGTATGCGACGAAGAAAATGTTTACAAAAATACCTAAATAAAAAAGTTTTAAAAATTAAAGGAAAACAAATGTTTAGATTTTGTTTCTGTTAAATGTCAAAACACACAGCCAAAAAAAAAACCACACACACTCAGATCATTTTACAATATATATTTAAGATCTCTGATAACAGACTTTTTAGCATCATTCATTTCATTTTTTCTAAGTTGTTTATCCATAATAGTAAATATCAACAATATGTTCACCTTCCAATACTATTTTTCTCAGTTGAAAATCTTGCAAATGACCAGAAAGCTAAACTGGAATTAAGAAATAGTAACATGGTATTAACTTTACTTACTGTTTATGCAATACCAAACTAGAGCAGTCACTTCATAGGGTGCATATCTCGGCCCTGCACGCAGGTCGTGTATGATGGGTGATTCAAACCCTGTGGTTGAATACCAAACCATATGGAGACTGTGTATGATGAGTGTGCATATTCAAGCACATTATTTTCTTGTTGAGTGCTGCAGCATACCCTCAAGAAAATATTGGAATCGCCCGTCGTATTAGGGCACATTATTTCCTTGTGTGCTACAGCATACATTACGTCCTTTAGTGGGGGTGATTAAAAAACAAAGAACAAACTGTTTACCTTGGGCTCCAAGCACTGCTAAAGTAAAGAATTTTGATGGTTTCTTGAGTTCAAGTGCAGTCATTAAGTGCATTCGTTCATTCTCAGCTTCCTCTGCAATAAAAAGATAAAAAATTAAAATAATTGATAATAAGAGGTTTGATTGGTCCAGTGGCCGACTATCTGATGCCACCTCTGCCCCAGTGTGGATTTCATTTATTAAAAATTATGAATATTTCTTACCAAGTAATGTATGTATCCAGCCATGATCACGTTCCATACGTCTCAATGATCTAAGATGACGCAACATTCCACCTACCATTCCGGGAACTCCAGCAACAGTCTCCAGGAAAATGATTCGTCTACAATGTTGAAGGTCAAACAAAAATAATGTAATAGAATCTAGAGACAATAATAATCAAACTAAACTTTACTGCACATATTATAAACAGCTATGTGCTGGCTACATTTGACAAAGAAACTGAAAAAAAGTATATTATTGAAAAAACTAGATTTAAATTTTCATACCTCAGCCATTTTGCTTCAGTCCTTTTACCAAAACTGAAACCAGAGAATGTGTCAAAACCAAACCGCGTCATTTGTACTGCATAATAGGCAAGCTAAAGAAACAAAAATAATTAAAAACGTAAGAGGAAGTTTAGTTATTTGTGATTATGGAATAAAGGTAGTCATTTTAACATAAGTAGTTTGTGAGTTTTATTATAACATTATGTTTCTCCCTACATTTACAACTATGTTCAATGAGTAGTACCTATATACTATTTCATTTTATTATTTATTTGATCCAAATAACAAAGCAACAAGTCTGAAAAATGGGAAGACCAGGGCCAACCAAACTGAACTTTATCACTATTAGCAATGCTGGTTGACTCATTTATCCCCAATCACCGACAAAAAATTAAAAATATTCTCACAAGCCAAGTATGGTATTATAATAGCAGTTCTCTGCATAAACAACAATTTATGCCCATACTAGCTGGGCATTTAATTTGCTTAACACCTTTAATTACCTTGTCACTTCTTTCTTCAGGTTCTTTGTGAGTTACTATAACACTCTGAACTTCATCCTTTGACCTGCAACATAAAGTAAAGCCTTCTAAAAAGCAGTAATCCCAACATAAAAGCACAGATAATACATACAAGGCTTTAAAAGATCTGTGTTTTTGTGCTAAGTATAATTTAACATATTGGATATACAAATTATTTGGTGAAATTATACTTAGCACAATCTTAATCACACAGATAATACATACAAGGCTTAAAGATCTGTGTGATTAAGGTTGTTCTAAGTATAATTTAACATATTGGATACAAATTATTTGGTGAAATTTTACTTAGCACAACCTTAATCACACAGAGATCTGTGTGATTAAGGTCGTGCTAAGTATAATTTCACCAAATAATTTGTATATCCAATATGTTAAAGGTTATTGTCCTTCATATAATTTTATGGAGTATACTAGCTTAGCATTTAATTTCAGTTGGTAGAACAGTTATTGTAGAGCAGTGGCCTATGTAAGAGTCTTGAAANGCTGATGTGAAGGTGGAGGTGTTCGATGATTATGCTAGGTAGCAAAATAAGGTGATATGAGATGATTTTTTAAATACTTGAGCATGATTTTTTTTCTTCCCACATTTTTAATGTGGGGGGGGGGTACATCCTGGGGTGAGCATTTTTTGGGGGATCAGATATGCCACTGCTGTAGAGACTTGGGTTTGAGTCTTAAAGGGTACTATATGCTTTTTGCAAATAACTATAATGAGGTACCGATAAATCCACTTGCAGACAATAATGCCATAAGCAGGGATGGATGATCCAGAGATGCCCAAAAGGGGTGCCGAAAGTGGGGCAGATTAAGATAACACTAACCTAGGGGGCTGGGGACCGGGGGTCCGGGGCATGCCCGTGAAATTTCTGTTTTCAAGACACCCAAAAATAACCTCTGAAGCGTTTCGGTCAATCCTCTTTTCCTTTTCTTTCTTTTTTTTTTATAACTTTCCAAAATGGGGGGAAGGGAGGCAGCCTGACCTTCTTTAAGTCTGCCCCTGCATTAGCAATTGTTAACACTAACATCTACTAACAGCTACTCCTATGTCAACCAGTTAATGGAATATTTAGACAGTTAGGTATCATGATTGCAACTGCTTGAAAGTATCTGAAAATATAAATCTACTACTGAACTCACCAGATGGGATGGGGAAGAAGGTAATCCACAGTGTCTGTAGCAGCCTCCTGATTTCCTTTATTTGTATCAAGATTTCTCCTGTAAAAACAAGATAAATTAATCAACCAATATTCTTTCTTCATGAATAATGAATTACAAAAACCTTCTTTTCTGTATTTTCTTCCATAGTTCATTAAAATGTATGTATACAAGATGAACAGTGAAAGACAGGATAAATTATAGTGGCATTAATGTTTATTATCTGTAGTTTGTGTTCATAAAGGAATACTTCATCAGATATTATTTTCATGTTTTAGTAATTGTTATTTTAAATGGATCAAGCAACAGTACTCCATTGAAAATATAAACAATAACAAACACATTTTAATTCATCGAAAACTTGCTTAGAAAGAAAATACTGTAATTGAAATTAAAAGACAGAAATTGAACTTGTATTGGCAGTATTCTAAAGTTCAGGTCTATAACAAATTGTTTCTCTGCTACTCAGTTTGCTAGATGGTATGTGAAAGTGACTGGCTTTCTTCTGAAAATAGTTATGGATTCTTTTAAAATATAGAAGTTAATCCCATTACTAGGCACAGTTCCTTTATCAACTTTAATGTGACAATACAGTATATCTATGTCTATGTATAGAAATACATTATTGTTCATCAAGATAAACATATTAAAGCTCATAAAGACAAATTTGTTATGTTTCGTATGTATGATGAAATTTTAAAAATATTCTTAAAGACTTGATATCAAGGACTTACTTGAAGTGTGGAGCAAGGCCTGAAGATGTCTGCTTCTTCCCCTGAACACCTTGCAATGCCATGCATGATGTACTCAATAACTGTTAATTAAAACAGACACTGCATTTACTCGATCATAATGTGTGATATAACAGGACTATCTGCATTGAATTTTCTTCTAAGCTATAGACTGAGGGAAATGCCATACATTAAAAGCTCAAATTATTTGCATATCCGTAGTTGCCACCTGGGCATAACACCATTTATTTATTTAGACAGTAGCACTAAAAGTAGAGGCTGTATATAGGTCTAGGCCACAAGGGATTAAAACTGTCTCTTATACACATCTAGATGTGTATAAGAGACAGCCACTAGACCATGAAGCTTCATGGTTGAACAGGTCCAAATACCCGTGGGAACATTATATTACACAATGCTATGCCTCAAGAGCGCGTTTGGCCAGATAAATCTGGAAATACGGCGAGGGTAGCCTACGATTTCCATCATGTCCTTCAATAAACACTGTATATGTACCTTTGATGCAACACCCTGCAACCCCTTCTCAACTTCAAAAACTGTCATAACTCCTTTGATCTATGCTGCTCGATGGCGTAACAAGGGGAAAATATCTATCTTTGAAAAATCTTCCCCACCACTTTATAAATGCCCTTTTCATCCCCTGAAAGTGCCTAAAAACCTCAAATCTTCGCGTGCATTTCTTGTTAACATGGGCCAATTTTCTCTAAAAATTGCACATTTTAGGGAGTTTTGATCAATTCCAACGAAATTAGAATTAAAAACACCGGGGGACAAGGGGAAAATATCCATCTTTGGAAAATCTTTCCCCACCCCTTGACAAATGCATCCTCTGAAAGTGCCTAAAATTCTCAAATTCTTTGCACGCATTTCTTGTTACGGTAGTAGGCCAATTTCCTCTATAAATTGCACATTTTAAGAAGTTTTCATCAATTCTGACGAAATTAGAATTCATTTTGTAGGGTTTTTTAGGTTTATCCTTTTAAGTTATTTAAACACATAATAGTCCCAAACTCAAGAAAGACAAATTTAAGATAGATCGTTTTAACCTAAAAGAAGGGCCTCAATGTGTATTGATGTTGAAAGATTATGTTTGTAATAAATAAAACCATGATGAAAATGCAAGCACATCTAACATCTAAGGAAAGAAGAGCTTAGATTGGTACCAGATAAAATAATTTTGTTATCAACATTAATACATTATGCTAATTTTCATCTTTGTAAGCGCATAAGACAGTGCAAATTATTTCTGTGACAGTATTTTGAAGTGTGTAAAGTTCCATTTTATCCCATACATAGTCAAAATATTGGTGGGGGGGATGATACAATGGACCAGCCCCCCTTGTCAAATATTGGGGAATATATCCCCCATCTAGATGTGTATAGCCTATGAGTACCACTCAGCCCTGTGTTTAATTAAACTTACCGACGAAGTGAGGAAGTGTATTACTGCTCACCTGCTTGTGATTTCTGCAGGCCTTGGTCAATTGACCTTTACCCAACCAAAGGCTTGTCTTCGCAGGTGATAGGCCTATCATACTCATACGTGCAAAGCAAGAGGATCCCTTGTACAACATACTGCTCGCTACCATGTTCCTGTTTGATAAAGAACTTGTAGGGCTGTTCTATGCTTGATCAAAAGTGACCGTATAGCTGATGAAAGATTCCGTGTGTCTGAGTTGGTTTTGTATAAATCATAAATAGAGTCTGTTTCAGTGAAGCAGTGTAATATGTCAACAAAATATCCGCGATCCTTGTATGATATCATTTAATGCATAATTGCATCAACATGGACTGAATCATTCTGAATCACTCGATTTACAGAGCGTTCAATCTCATTATAATATTAAATATTTTTGTAAATATCATCATAATAATAAATCGTAGAACACAATTAAATGGAATAATTTGAAAAAAAAAAGTTATTTGCATTGTATAATTTATTTATTTTTAACCATAATTAGAATAATCGATATAATTCCCTATTAAATATAATGGACATGTCCTTAATGGTCATGGTCCACTGAGTTTATGATGATGTTACTGCATAAAAAGAAGTGACAAATATACGGATACAAAATTCGACCAATAAATATAAATAGAATAACCGTAATATTGGTGAGGGAGGCTTCAGTGAAATTTTCTGAATTAATTAAGTAATTTATTGATGATTAAATAGTTAATATAAACGTATTTCTAGAAAAAAAATACACCTTTAAAAAACGGCACAATAATATAAAAACAACTCTTAACAAAATTTAAAGAGAAATCACTAACTACCAGAGTATGTACTCGATCGAAATTCAAACTACAACACAAAAAATGTTGTAACATAGGTATTTTCAGTGTTACGTTGAACGTTTTTATCCCTAACGTTGTTCATGTTTTGATTGCGTGTCAATTTTTCCTGACGAAAGTTCCATTTGTGCATTGTTTCGAAATGTTGAAAATAAATTTTCGTGACGTGTCACATATTGCATTGTCACAATTTTAATTATGATATTTTAAGATTCCTTGACAGGGCAGGAAAAGCTCCCATTTGACGGTCCGGCCTCCCCACTCTGCCTGCAGCTGCACCCTTCGAGTGAGGCACACGATCTTCATCCATAGTCTTAAAATTCTAATTCTACGTAGCCATTTATCAAATTAATTAATTAATAATAAAACTAATACAGTAATAAGAACAATAAAATGGAAAAAACCCCACATAAATAGGCTTTTGAAACATTGTGACTGATTATTCTAGGTCTAGGCCTATAGCAGATAAAATGAAACATTCTGATCTCGGGAAAATGTAAATGCTTTAAAACATTTGACTGTATGATGACTGTATAAAAGTTAGTTAAATCTATTTCACTTACAGTGATGGTCTATTACAGCATAGGTTGGAATGATTGGATACACCCTATATTTTGTGGCCGAACGTCCAATTACTGATAAAGGAATGCTAAGCTGTCGTTTTTTTTTTTAAATTTTCGAATTGTTGTTAATTTTTTTTATTATATCACGAAGGTAAGCCTTTTTACTTTCATAGAGAAAATACAGGTCTCAGAAGCGGATCCAGAGCCTGTCCAAAAGAAAAAAAAAGGGGGGGGGGCGAAAGTAAGGCCGATCGAGATAGTACTGCCCCAGGGTCCGGGGGCATGCCCTCGCGAAATGTTTGTGCTCTAGACGCCTGATATCTGAGGCGTTTTGGGTGATCATTTTTTCCCTTTTCTTTCTTTCTTTCTTTCTTTCTTTCTTTCTTTCTTTCTTTCTTTCTTTCTTTCTTTCTTTCTTTCTTTCTTTCTTTCTTTCTTTCTTTCTTTCTTTCTTTCTTTCTCTCTTTCTCTCTCTCTCTCTCTCTCTCTTTCTTTCTTTCTTTCTTTCTTTCTTTCTTTCTTTCTTTCTTTCTTTCTTTCTTTCTTTCTTTCTTTCTTTCTTTCTTTCTTTCTTTCTTTCTTTCTTTCTTTCTTTCTTTCTTTCTTTCTTTCTCTCTTTCTCTCTCTCTCTCTCTTTCTTTCTTTCTTTCTTTCTTTCTTTCTTTCTTTCTTTCTTTCTTTCTTTCTTTCGTTCGTTCGTTCTTTCTTTTATTCTCTCTTTCTTTCTTTCTTTCTTTCTTTCTTTCTTTCTTTCTTTCCTTTCTTTCATTCTTTGTTTCTTTCTATCTTTCTTTTTTTCTATCTATCTATCTATCTATCTATCTATCTATCTATCTATCTATCTATCTATCTATCTATCTATCTATCTATCTATCTATCTATCTATCTATCTATCTATCTATCTATCTATCTATCTATCTATCTATCTATCTATCTATCTATCTATCTATCTATCTATCTATCTATCTATCTATCTATCTATCTATCTATCTATCTATCTATCTATCTATCTATCTATCTATCTATCTATCTATCTATCTATCTATCTATCTATCTTTCTTTCTCTCTTTTTTTAAAGGGGGTGGGGCTAGATTTTACTGTATTCGGTTTCTGTATGCCTATTACTTGTGTTTGTGAATGCGGATTCTTGTCCTTTTTTTGTACTGGGCCCTGTGGAAAACAGCAGTAGATTTTCTACTGAACAGGTTCCCCTGTAAAAAATTAACCTACTTAGTAGGGTTATTATATGTTGTTTAATTAATATTTTGTAGGTAAAGTACGTGTGCCGTAAATTCTCTCGCGTGAACATGTCCAACTAACACAGTACAGCGGTTTTTGCAAGGGTGCCCTCATGTGTAAGACACGCCTTCTAATGAATATTGATTGTTATATCAACATTCACGCTCTTTGCACGCTTTGGTTGGCTTAAAAGTATTTTGACCTGAATCATGACCCTAATCAGCTGGATGTCACGTGACCGCTACGTACCATAACAGAACGAAAACAGTTGCTGTATCCAGTTGTCAACTTTATCGAAATAGTATTCAACAGTCAATGTTTCACCTATTTTGAATGACCATTTAGTCTCAAAACCTCTACAAATATACCCGACAGTTTGCAGATACTCAAATCAAGTTATGTAAGTCAACATATTATCTCCGCCTTAATGTATTTAGCTGTTATTTTATAAAATAATAGAGAAGGCACTTCCACTGGACTCCGATTTGGGCGGACTGAATAAACTGTCGTCTGGTATGTTTTTGATTTGGTGGATCATCAAGGCCAGCCTCAATATTGCAAAGTCTTATGTTAAATATCCATATTTACGATATTTATATTGTACTTTTTTGCTGTTGGTAGCCCCCTATGCTATAATTCTCATATCAAGAATTCATATACTGTATTACATCTTCCGTCCAACAAGTAGTAAGCATTTTTGTGATGAAAAAAAAACATTCATAAATATAGACATATAGGCCTAGCCTAGCTTAGGGCCTAGGCCTAGGCCCCTAGGCTTATTAGTAGTATTAGTACTAGACTACTCTAGGCCTAGCCTAGGCCTAAGCATTGCCATTGTAAAGTCTGTGGGCTACTGATCAAGATGACTCTTTGGGGTTGGGGCAATGGGTTAGTTTTACTTCCGTGGGAAGACCAATTGACAGAAGGGAATTAGTATTCTTTCGGTAGCAGGTCAAAACGGCAATGAACCAAAACGCCAATGACAGTACCAAAACGGCAACAGACCAAAATGGCAATGATAAGTACCAAAACGGAATAGACCAAAATGGCAAAGGAGTGAAATCAATGCCAAGACTAGCAAGCGCCAGCAGGCCAGGCCGCAGTTATCGTTTTATGAATCGTTTTGAAATTGTCCCGATAGGCAAATCGATATTGCCATGGGCTCTTTTTTCCACTTTTAATGGTTATTATTATTATTATTATTATTTCGCATTTTTTTACTTTTATGACATAAATTGTTTAGCTTCATTTTGTCTGTATTGGAAGTTTTATTTGTTTAAATGTTTTGCTGCTTTTATATTGTTTCCCCCAAACTTTTTTATATTGAATTCGTATGACTATTATTATTATTGTTATTATTATTATTGTTATTATTATTGTTGTTAATAATATTATTGTTAATTGTGACATTCGGAATCAATCATAACACGAAGACTCATTGACGGTGTCCGGTTCTTTTATTACAGAAGGCGCATTTCGAAAAGAATAACCCCCAGCCAGAGTAATACAAAAGCTGTTAAACTAGGTAATGAATATTGTATGCTCTTGTCCTCATGAAATTATCTTGGTAACTGTGCTCATATGATGTGAGACAAAGGAACAGTTAGCATAATGCAAATTAGGTCCTGGATGGTCCTGTTACCATGGGGACGATATCTTAGGATTAAACCACTTAACTAAATAGGGTGCTTTTATAAGGGTTATCCCATTGTGACAAGATACACATGTCACTTAATGATATTATTGCTGCTTCTATTTAGCCTCATTTTTACCGTATTTATTCGTAGTACACTTTCATGTTTATAATTATTTTATTTTTTCACGTTTTTACTTTTATGGCATAAATTGTTTAGCATCGTTTTGGTCTTGCCGTTTTGGCTTATTGCCGTTTTGGTCTATTGACGTTCTGGTCAAAAAGTGTTGCTGTTTTGGTTTTTTACCGTTTTGGTCACTGCCGTTTTGACTTATTGTCGTTTCGGTTTATTGCCGTTTTGTCCATGAAATACACATTTTTTTTGCTGAAATGTGAATGTTAAATAGAATCTTTTTTCAGGATGACAGGCGGATACAGTAGGGAGGACGGTTGGTATTGTTTATTTGGCAAATATGTCCAATGTAAGTTGTGGATGGTCCTCCTCTGTATATTACTGTTTGATAATAATAGATAATCATTTTATATATACTGTTTGAGTAAATTATTTGTGTACCGGTAATTGTCTCTACTCATGTAGTAAACACCCCTTTCTTTATGTGAGTTGATGACATGACAAGTCACAAGACACTGTACCACCGCACCCAAACCATTTCCCTTACATTGGAAACAGGAAATTTAATTAATGTCTTTGTTGGTTCACAAGTGTTGAATATTTATTATAGAATATAAGGTTAAATAGAAAATAATACTGTAGTGGAGGTAAAATATAGTTATTTCAATATACAATTCAATAAATAAGTTTTTTTTAATCCTTTGTTTGAAAAAAATTGTATCAACCAACATGGTTGACTATAAGTTTTTTGACTACAAACATTTTTTTATCCAGTAGTGTACATTGTATGCAGTTAAGATAATTTTTTATGAGAAGAATTTTTTCTGGAAAATGAATTTACCATTATGAATAGATACAGTATTTGTACTATTGATAATTTTAACTTAAAATTGAAACAAGGTGGTATCATCAGTAAAATATAATTAAAAAATGCAAAATAAACTATCAATAACATTGGGTTTACAGTAGGCTCATTCAAATTTCACAGCTTCCCATGAACCAAGACCACTACCTTAGAGATGTCATTAGGGAAAAACAGGATAGGCCTATGGCCAATATAATTTAAGAATGTATTATTGTGACTTGTATGTAACATCATTTATAACTTAAAATTTTAATTAAATCTTGAGTAAAAAATTAGAGAATTTTGTGCTTCTATTCTAATCAAATTGTTTACAATTTGTTGACAATCCATCCAGTAACGGCACCAGAAATTCCTAACGAAAGGTAAAATATTCCGACAAGAGTCCAAATTCACATCAACCCCCACACTTTTTGGAGCGAATTGTAAGAATCGGCACACCTTAATGCCTGGATGGAACTCAGACTGAAAACTCTTTTCTAAATTTCTTTTTGAAAGCAGTGTTCCCTGATGAAATAATCAGCTTATTCTCCAGCAGGAGTTCATGTTCCTCTGCTGGGCCACTGCTGGCGCCGCCAATTTGGGTTGGTCGGGCGTGGCCAACACAAACATTTTTTTTTTTTTTGGCCTTACATCCATCCTTTGTCATCCCAATTAAAGTATTTTGATGCCACTCTCTGCTTACAACTTTTTAGCAGATTGTGTTTGTACAATAATTCATACCCAGCTTGAATCATGAACCTTTAGGTTTTTTATCGTATTGTGAAATGAATTCTTGACGCACCTCTTGCTTGTATAACACTTACTGTAGTAATGGTTTATTAACCTAACCATAAGTTGTATCAGTAAGTTCATAGTGAAAACAGTTAGGGTTGGCTATTTAGCACACCCACCTAAAATTCTACACAGTGACAGTTTCCTTATGGAACGGACCAAGTCAAGTGTTAAAAAACAACCTATTGTCATTTTATTTACTGTAATGGTATGGTTAGATTGAGCAGGGTAAGCAGCCTATTTATCAATGGAATATTGGAGACCTAATAATTTATGTATCTATAGTTTGACTACCTCCATAATGGGATATAAATGGCATTCCAAATTTCATGTATCATTTTGTGTGGAATAGAATGGACTGGAGCTATAGCTTGATGGTTATGGTGCCTGCCTTCCATTTCCAAGCCAACACTGGTTTAAATCTTTAAAAAGCATGAATATTTTCTTATCCAAAACAATAATGCGACTCTGTAAAGCCTTGTTTATGGAGCATGCATTTTCTTCATAGAAGTTCTTCTGTGAAAATATAAGGATAATTATTGCATTGAACCAGTTTTAGTTTTATGTTTTGTTATATAGTTCCTCCTATAATTTGTGAGTATTATGCTATCAATATGAAAAAAAGAAAAACAGAGTGATTGATGCTACTCATATTTGTATTCCCATGATTAATAAAATGCTCTAGCCTCATTTTATAAGTATCCCATCTGTCACAGCAAGTATGATATTAAATTAAACTTCCCAGTGTTTCAGAATATATATTTTTGTGATTGATCGTTTAAATGTGGCTAGTTATTTTATGCATTCCTTATTATGGAGTAAACTACTATTGTGTATTAATACTTTTATTTTGTTTCTTTGTGTATGATAACCTTACAGATTGTTAACATAGAGACACATTCTTTATATTGTAGATCTTATTATTTCAATTATCTTTGACCATTGTCTTTCTACTATAGTGATAAAACCTAATAATATAAATTTACTGCAGTTTGTTTTTCCTTATTTGGTAATAACTAATATTGCCACATCATACTGTATCATTGACAGGTCAAAGGTCAGTGCTTTAATTTAGGCCATGTTCTTCAATTCAAGCTGTTATACATTTGTATTCATTTGACCTTGTTATGCAACCTTTATTAACTATTATATTATAGACTCAAATATTCTAAATACACTCTTCCATGTCTAACTTCCTTACCTCAAATTGCGCAATGTACTAATTAGCATATTCAAATGAATTGTGTTAGTATATCAGGTCTAGAATCAATATCAGGATTAATTTTTACCTCTTAATCTTAATCACATTTTGTTCCTCTGAAAAGACTACATTATCTTCTACATACACAGGCCTCCTAATATTATAGAAACATATTGTACCTGTACTATTTTAGAATCTTCTGTTTTTGGTGATAGAAACGGATCAGAGCAGTCTTTTAAACTAAAAGACGATGTGTCTTTCATTTCAAAAGTTTCTCTGAAAAAAAGCTATATGATAGTGAGATTTACTGGCTTGATAGACTTTTGTAATATTTTTTTTCTATCAAACACATGTAAGCTATCATCTGGTGGCTATTTTAGAGTGGATTGACTACTTAGACAAGAAACATTGTTAAACCCAATATACTCATGTCGCATGCAGAAATATTATAATTTGTCCTGCATGACAGATTTCCAATTTATAACAAGAACATAGCATGGTTTTTCATATAGCATTATGCCTTTCAGATGACATGCAACATTTTCTGTTTTGTTTTGTCTGTAAAATAAAGAGCTAGTTTTATTGGATGGTTTCAGAATAGATTCAGAGTTTAGATTGGATAAACTTCCCTTTTGTATAGTAGAATGTTGATTTCTTTATGTTAATTTTATTATTTTTAAAGACTTTTTCATGGGCTATATTTAAATCTCAGTACATGAAACTAGCCCTTGTTTGTTGGTTACTTATTGTTTTCAAGTATCGAACTAAGGCCAAAAAAAAAATATACTTGTTTAGCGTCACCGCCCGACCCTGATTTTCTATCCGCCTCTCATTTTTTTTTTTTTTTTTTGGTTAAAAAGTGCTGAAAATCGACTAAAAAATGCTGATTAATAGAGGAAAAACAATAGTTTTTTTCATCTTCAGCACAGGGAACAAGATGTTAAGTGCGCCACCAAGTGTGTTTTCTTTTTCTGCAGAAAAAAATAGATTCCCTCACACATTGTGCTTGTTGACAGAAATCGCGGACAATTTGATCGTAGGCGTACATGTTTTTATTATATTTATGGTTCTTTTTAGATAATAAACAATGTTTTAAATATGATAATAATAAAGTACTATGAAGAAAAATAATAGGTTACGACCTACGCTTTAATTGGCAGATGTTTTAGGCCTAGCCTAAGTACTACCTAACTAGGCCTAGACCCCTAGCTAGTAGTAAGTATGGCTAGGCCCACCTGGCATAAGCCTAGCCTAGCACTGCAGCAGTTTGCCTACGGAACCACAATGCTTATTAAAATAAATATTGTACAATCAAATCTTTTATGTAAAATTTTAGTGTCTGTTATAGCCTTTGTAAAAAATTTGGCTTGGCACCAATGCAGTTTTTGAAATCTCTAGGCCTAAGAAGCCTACACATTAGGGCCTAGGCTAGGCCTAAGTCAGCAAAAAAAAAAAAAAAATCCGCCCCTCCCCGCCCCTGAAAATTTCTGAGGGTGTGACGCTAAACAAGTATTTTTTTTTTTTGGCCTAATCCATTTATTTTATACCACACAATGAATAGGTTTTTAAGAGGTAAAAATCTGTGTCCATATGTCAATTTGTTTACTAAATACAATGTTTGAGGTTCTTGCTTCTGTAGTCACTTACCAGCATACCTCCTTTAATAATATTCATTCTGGATTTTTATACCATAATCAAAATACTATGTATTGTAGCTTTTCGTATATTGACCAGTCATGATAGATCAGATATTTTATTGTGAATCAGTGTCTCTTTTGTCATTTTTATGCTATAGGAAATCCTTTTTTTTTTTTCGTATTTGTCCCTACTTTTAGTTATTTCTGGGCTTCCAATATAATATAATTCTCTTAATATTACAAACAATATTGACCTTTTTTAGATTTTCAACACTTTAAAAGTAA